GCCCTGGCGGCTCCGCGCGGCGCGCTCCCGGCTCCGGGAGGCCGCGGGAATAAGCTGAAGGAGAAGGAGTGAAATCTGCTAAATGTTGTTCCTCCTGAAACCTCCTACGCACGTTTCGGTTTGGTTAAAGAGAAGTTAGGAAGTATAGCACGTCCTGCTGACTTTTACCCAGAGCCTTGTATGGCTACTGAAAAAAGTTCTGGCTGAAAGTTGATGACATTAGTGATGAACCTGTGGTTAAAATTAGAACTTTTTTTTTTTTTTTCTCTAAGGAGAAGGAAGCTTGTCTTATTTTTGAAAATGGTTTGCCATTAAACCATTAAACAAGAATGCTGCCTATCTAATTGCTTCTTTAATCTGGTCACTATTTCTGTGTGGAATTCATGTAAATATGTGTGTGATATGAAGGCAATTAATTGGCTAATTCTGCAGCTGCTGCAGGGAAGAGTTCATGTAGTCTCTGTGGTGTCCTCTGGCACCAAGGGACACGCTACCTTCTTCCCTTGGGCATGCCTTGAGCCCCTTCATTTGGCTGTGTGCCCACCATACAATCTAACAGCACAGGGTAAAATGTAATGCTCAGCTGACTGGAAATATTCTCCAGATGTAATTCCCTTCAATAGTAGAGAATATGCAGTATTGAGAGTTCATACATGACCTTTTTGGTGACATTCCTTAATAAAGACCTTACTCTATGGGTTATTAAGATTACAGTATAATTGTAGAATGATCACAGAGACTAAATGGTAATAAACTCTGAAACTAAAGCAGAAGAGAGGTGCACTTGCTTTGATAGGTAACTTATATTTTAAATATTTTGTAACAACGTATCTTTTTCCTGAACTGCATACAGCATGTTGAAGAGTCTGCAAGAGTATCTCAGGCCTCCATAGCCTATCCATAGCTGCCCTTTGTGGGAAACTGAACATTTTGGTGGGGTACTGAATAGGGCACCAGTAATGACTGACTGTGACCAACCTGTACTATACCTGAGTTGGAGAATTAGGCCACGGAAACCTCTATATCCAGTTTTTAATCCTGTGTGATGTTCTGTGACTGGTATAGAACAATCTAAGAAATCTGCTGTTGCTGATGTGCCTTGCAGCCAAAGAGCTGGAGTCTTGGGAAAAGCATGCTTGCTCTCATCTCTCAGTGGTGACATCTCTGAATATGTACTTGAAAGCTCATAGTCATTTTGAGGGTATTTGAAATGGAAGCAAAAGGAAGAATACTGAATTATGTACATTTTATTGTTTCCCAAGTAAATGATTTTGAACTGAAACAATGAAAATGAAGAAATACTCTTCTTTCTTCTGTCTACTAACATCTTGTTTTATATTAGCATTGTACTATGAGTGTGCTGAAGTGGACTTTGTGGAAGTAAAATGCCTTTACAAGGCCTCAGCACTGAGAGGTCATGATAACAATATATCATCTGCAAGTATGCCTGTGAATAATCTGTTTGTACCAGTTTTTTAAAATGTATTTTCATATTGTAACTGTTCAAAGGCTGAGGCTTTCCAACATTTTATGTATTTTGTCTCCTGTGTGCTCTAAACCTCATCCTGTGATCTTTTTCTTCAACCTGTATTCTTGTGGATGGGGCTTTTATGGTCAGGTAAGTTTCTGAAGCAGTGTGTAGCAGGCCAGAATCCCCTGCTCCTTCTCAGCTGCTCCTCCCTGGGTGAAAGGCAAAGTGAGGGTCTGTGCACTTGCTGTGTTTGTAGCTCCCCAAAAGTCTTGTCCTCCCAGTGTTAATAAGCATCATATTTTAGTCATTTTTGTTTCAACACGTTACATTGAACCAAATGCTTAATCCAAAGTGTTATTAAGCTGTTAATGTGATGCCTTTCAAAGGGTTTGCAAGCATTAATTTAAAGAAATCTACCATTCAGTGGAGAATGACACAGTTCTTCTATGCATACCTTTGTGTATGTTGTAAAATGCATTGTGATTATCTTAGATGTGAGCTGGAGGAAAACCCCAACATATTTAATTCAATAAATTCTGCAAAACATTTTCTGTTATATCTGAACCATTAGGATGCAAACTACCCAAAACAGTTCCTTTCTGTTTTGTTCTTATATTTGCTCAAGTTGTGTGTATGTCTGGTAGCAGAATATATTGCAAGAGCAGGTCTGATTTAACAAGGGGAAGAAGTTGTTAAACTGAGTGAGCTTCAAGCTACCTGTTTTCTGCTCATAAAAATTATTTCACTGTTGTCAGCTTTATCTGTTGAAGTTATTGAACAAAATGAATTAAATGGAATGCCATATAGTATTATCAGATGCAATCATTTTTAGAGCGTAGGAGATCAGGATGACTTGCAGAAGTACATACTGTCAGTCTGCTCTGCAGAGGAGTCTCTGTTTTAACAGAAGGTGAAATACTATCAAAACAAAGTTTGATGGATTTTTTTTTTTTTTGCATATTTTTCATCCAACATATTTTTGACTAGTGGAATATGGTATTGAAATTGACTTTATAATTAAATGTGGATAATAACAGTTTTATATAGACAGTGGTCTAACATGGTGCTTAACTTGCTAGTTGGCCATTAAGGGAAACTAAGATTTCTGCTGCACAAAATCTGAAATGTCAGTATTTTGAACACTGAAAGTATGAGCCAATATAGATGTATAGAATTCTTGACAATAGTTTTGAAAAGCTTTGTGCGGTTTCTTTGAAGAAATCAGACCAATGACTTCTGGGACAGTACAGCAGAAATAATAGAAAAGGTTTAGCTGCTTTATTTTTTGTATTCTGCTGGAAATGTTATTACTCACTTCATCCTGACTAAAGATAAATAAAAACAAACAGAATCTGAGTAGACTGGTTTTTGTGCTACCACTAATTCTTCCTGTGTTTGCTAAGGATGGGTTAGATGGGCTGAAATGAGAAAGAGAAAAGACATTTACACATGTGAGGGGTAATGAGTGGTGTGATCTAGTCATAGGTGGTGAAACCAGAAATCTTTAAGATTCTTCCATGACTGAAAAGAAGCTTCCTTGCTTTATTTGTCAGGGCATGGGCAGCCCACTTGCTCTGTCCCTGGTGTGTTGCTGGGAGTAATAATCTTCTCAAGGAATAGTTAGGAGAATGGATTGACCATACGCTGCTTAGGCATTTCTGCACGAAAATTTAGAAAACAAACTTTGTTTGTTGTATATGAAGGACCAAACTGGAAGATCCTTTGGATAGCTTCTGATCCTTCAAACAAATTTCTTCTGGAGCATGTCAGAGGTGTAATGTGAAATAACATTAGATCAAAGTATTAATGGTGAGACAGAGGAAATGTGGTATATTTAATCGAAGTATTTTACTTGGAAGGAGACAAAACATACATAAAGACTATAGATGTAATAAACATTAAGTAGATGGTATCAATAGGAAAACCAGTTTGTGTGATAGATTTTATAGCTGTAAAACTTACATATTTTAAAGCTGTAATTCCAGTTCACTGTATTGCATGTTACCATTTTATCAATGAGACAGAATCTAGACGGGAACTAAATTTACCCATGAAATGTTTCCTTGTTGCTTCTATTTCTCAGGTGTCCTACATTAGTCAGGACTGTGAAGAAATTCCAGAATTCCTAGGAAGAAAATACGGACATATGGCAAAAAGGCTAGACCTTAGCTTCAACTTGTTAAGGTATGTGGCAGTATATAGATTTTCAAGTGCAGTGTGGAATTCCAACTCCTTAAGTAGTCTGTTGGAGTTGTAGTTTTTCAAAGTAGAAAGATGTAAGTCAGGTACATTTAATTGTTATCAAGTGGACAACACTGTTTTATAGGTAATGTTTGTCTCCTTTTCTCCCACACTTGGAGCACAAATAACCAGGTGAGTCTGAAAAATTACTATGTGTTGTCATAAATGATGCCCATTGAGAAGCTTATGCTTTGTTCTCTACTTAAATTGGAAAATAAGCATTGTTTCCTGAAGAATGGGATCAAAAGTGAATTTTCCTTAACCAAACACAAGTAAGTGTGTGCTTCTCTCCCTTTCTTAAAATTTTATTTATGGATTTCTGGTTATTACTATAAATGCTTTATAATGCTTTTATTTTCCCAGATGATGTGTTTTGTTCTATGATTTTATTTTCGTGCATCTGTGTAGTTAACTGCTAAAGCTAAATGCAGCTAGACTTTGTAATTCCTTCTAAGTATTTTAATATATGGATTGGATTAGGATTTTGTAGTATTCCTGTTAGCTACTACAGCATCCCATTCCATTTAATCCTTATAAGAGAGCCTGCTGAGGTTCAGCAGAGTATATTTCAGGTTGAAAAATGTGGGTAAGTACAGAGAAAGAATTTGAGTACAATTGTCTGTTTAATAAAAAAATAGGTTTGTGGACTCAACTCATTTTCCTTCTATTTTGTTGGGGGTAAGCTCACAGTCTGCTTGTGAAGAGTAATACAAGAAGTAGTGTGCTGGTGCCTTGCTTTCCTAGAAGAAATAACTACTGATTTTAACTTCCTTAACACTCATAAATGTTCTTCTGAGCCTCTGTCAACTCTGAAAGACTGAATCCTACATGTAAGTGGTAGCAGAGCAAAGGAGACATTAAATCTGTGGATTGTTGTTATCTTATACTATGACTGTACTGTTGGATAGTGTAATTAGAAAGGAGAATTTTGCTGGGGGAGGGGATCAAATGGTAATTTCTTTTTGATTTTGTCATGAAGATAATTCAAGGTCTGTATGTGTATTTAGATTTAGCAAGTTGTTGACAAGACTGCTCCTTCTTTACATTTCTGGGAAAAAAAGTGTTTGTCTCTTTCAGTTAATGCATGATTTGAAGAACAGTTCTCTGAATTTGTTTCATTTCATAGAGTAAAATAATAACATTAAATTTGGATGCAAAGTACCACTTTAAAACTGATCATATTTTCATGTAGAGCACAATTGGTGATGTATTTCTGAAATCTGTGTTTTCTTTCCTTCTTTTATTCTCTAATGAAAACACTTAGCCTGTTTTTCACAAGGGATATAATTGGTTTTATTGAGGCTTAGGGAAGAACAATCAGCTTGTGATGTAGGAGAAGTTGTAGTTGTTAATCTGTAAAAGTATTTTAAGACCAGAAGTGAGATTTGGGAAAGGGGAGAAGTGGATTTTATTTTTTTCTTTGGGAATCTAACACTAAATGGGATGTGAGCAGTAAGGGTTTTTCATTGAGTAGTGCTTAGATTTACTGAGCATATAGAAACTAAGAAGTATTTATGGTAGAGTAGCTGTTGACACTGGTCTGCACTCATATATAGACCCTGTACCTGCATATTATTGAGAAAGTCAGATAAGATACAGAATAAATGTCATAATCTTAAATGTGAATATAGAAGAATGTCTTGGGCAGCTCTTGAAGCAAGTGTAAGCAGGGTCATCTTCTTTAAACAGGTATTATTGCTTAAAGATCTAACAGTATTGTAGTACAGCAATGAGTTTTATGATTTTCATCAGTAAATGCTTCGTTTGAAAAGTTTACAATGTTGTTTTCAGTGGGGAAACAGTATCTACCATTAATGCTGATTTAGGAAGGAGTTTGATTTTCTAGTATAGCTTGCTATCTCTTGGTAATGGTGTGAGTTGAATGAAGAAGACCAAGGGTGATCAAAATACAGGTAAAGATGAAGAGAATACTGTATTTTGCTAGCACAGTAGTTATTTGAAGTAAAGATGTTAGCTTTCATTATAATTTTATTTATTATTGGATGAAGGTTTGTTTGCGTGGCTTTTGAAAGGAAAAAAGAAAACCAGATGTTCTTACATGAGATGGTTTTGTTACTCAGATTTCCCTGGTTATTTTCTTTTTGCTTGTGATGAGTCCATATAACTGAGGAGGGGAGGGTTGTTGTTAATTCTTTTGAACTGGCAGTTTAATACAGAAGAAAGTGTACATTTTTCACAATTCTTTTCCTGATTTCAAAATTCTTTCCAGGCTAGAGCTCCTTCCTCTTTCTTAAGTAAAATTTAGGGGCCGTGAAGATGCTTAATTATCTTTGCATCAGATGTGGTATATCTAATATCAGCATTTGATACATAATCACAAACAGTTGCTTTTGTGTCTTTCTTGTTTGCCTTTTTCCAAGAGCTAGTGTCTGTCCTTGGTTACCCTGAGCAGTACATGGATACAGCTCTTTCCTCCGGCGGTCCAAGTGACTGTTACCAGTCGCAGTGCTTGCACATCTTCCCTTTTCCCTGTGAGGGGAAGGAAAGAAAGAGGTGAAAGGTACAAGGGAAATTATATGGGAACATTGGGAAAGAGGAGGAGTAACAGCAATTTGTTGTGTGTGAGGCAAAGGGGAAAATGTGTGTGTCCTTAAACGATGCTGGCTGTAGTCAGCAGGATGTGGTGCCACTGGATTGCCTTCTGTTTATGTCTCTGGCTGATGGAAATCCTTCAATCCCAGATGACTGTAGTCCACTTGTGACTTATTTCTTCTCGTGCTGTTTTCATTACATTGATTTTGTTTGAATGCTTTCTAATATCTTTTGTTTCCTTCTGGGGCCAAGCGGGGGTTGTGAAGAAGACAGAGCGAAACTCTTGTCACATGTACAGCAAAAGAACAAGAGGCAGTTGTCACAGCTGCAGCAAGGGAATTTCCAGCCACCTCAGGGAAGGTTGAGTGAAAGAGGTGCCTAGAGAGGCTGTGGAATCTCCATCCTGGATGATATTTAAAATGCAATTGGACAAAACCACAAGCAACCTGATCTAACTTTTGAAATCCCCCTTTTCTGAGCACGGAATTGGACTAGATGATCTCTAGATGCTCTTTCCAGTTTAAATTGTGCTGTGATTCTGCAGCTTTGTTGGTGTGATATGGCCTGATTTGTTGCAGCTCTTTTGATTTCATAGTGATTTTCAGCTATTTTAGAAATGAACTATTTACTTATTACTTATTTTCAGTGAGGCATTTTTCAGGAGCAGAGTTGTTTTGCTTTGGAAATCTGCTCCTGAGCCTGTCATGGCAACTGTATTTGATGGCCTTCCCTAGTAACAGAGTCCTTTCATAATGTGTGGAAAGCATTCCCCAGTTCTCATTTCGTGATGGCATAGAGTATGGGAAGAGGAGACACTGATGTGTCAGTGTTAGTGTTACCTGGAGACTTTGTAAAGGATTACAAGGTGGAATGAAAAACTGTTGTTGATCATGGAAAGTTAAAGATTTCACTAAAAAAAGAGCAAGGTAAGTAGTAATCACTGGTGAAAGAAAGGAAGCAGTAAGTGAGTAGGAAGGATATAATAGAGATAGGGAGTAGAGATTTGGATGAAATACAAAGATTTTAGTTTAGATGCATCTTGCTATCTTGTGGGAAGAAAAAACCCAAACAAACCGTAGCTTGTTCAAAGCTTTTTTTACTTGTCCTAGATGACTTTGTTCAAAACTTTTCCTTTCACATTAGAGGCTAAATGCACTCTGGTGCTTGAATAACAGATGTCAGTGGTTTTGTACAAACAGGTGCCTTGCTTTTATAAATAATATCTACAGTTCACTTCACTGAGAAGTCCATCTTGTAATTTTGTCCTCAGTAGTTTTAAACATCTGAGTTGTTTTCCTTTTTCTTACAGAGATTTCTTCTCAGTCTAAGCTATGAGGTGAAATGGAGAGTGAATCTTTAATCTTGGCCAATGAGGAAGGATTAATCCAATAATTGTGCTCATGGAGATACAAATATCTCTTCCCTCTCTCTAGGGTGCAGATTATTTCTGCTAGGAGCCTGAATAATTTGCACAGTATGTGCTTGTGCATAACTTCCACTGTCTGATGAGGAAGGTGCATGTATGAAAACATCCCCTTGAACTTCAGTCCTAGTCTGGAATGTTCCTCCATGACTTTTTTGAGGCTGAGGCTTTGTAATATCTTCTCTGTGGACTAGATATTGTTCTTTCTCTCTTCTGCCTCCTGTTTTTTTTTGCCTGGGGGAATATGCAAGTGGCAGCCTGAAAATGGGCTCCAGTTTTTACAGGGCATGTTCCTCTTTGTAAGTTGAATATGTGAAAGAGAGGCGCTTTTTTTTTTTTTCTCCTAACCACCTTCCTGGTCTGTGCAGCACTAAGACATGCAGAACAGGAAGATGAACAACAAAAGAGAGATGGAAATAAAAACCAGAATTCAAAACAAAGCATGACATATTTTTAAAGCCTTTAGACTCATCTTTATAGCACTTTAAAATGTTGAAGAAAATGCACTATTGTTAAAACTTTTTGATGGTTTTATTTATAAGGTAGAAAAATATTTTCACCATAATTGGGTAACTCTTAATCGTAGCAATTGCATATTTATCAGTATGAGGGGCTGTTATTAATGTAGCTGTCATGCACAAACACATTTCTGCATTAAATCCATTTAGTATGTGCATTATTCGGTCTAGAATGTCACCAGGACATCAAAGCCCCCTTAGGCATAAGAGCACAGTGCCCTGCTGTGGCTGCAGAAAGGGCTTGATCAATAAATGTAACATGTTAATGCAGAGCAAATAGAATAAAAGATTTCTTTGACAAGACATGAAAAATCACCTTGTGGCAGCTGGCATGGTGATGCCATTTCAGCGGAGACACTAGCAAAGTTGATCTGACAAGTAAAGAGGAGAGATGATGGTTATAAGGTGCTTTTGTTTCAAACTTCTTTCTTGACCTGTCAGGTTTTGAA